CACCCCTATGGGGCCACCACCCCCCCATGGGACATAACCTGCCATGGGGCCACCACCCCTATGGGGACATCACCAGCCATGGGGACACCACCCCCCACGGGGCCACCACCCCCCAGATGGAGATGTCACCTTTTGTCACCCTCCTATGGGGCCACCACCTTCTATGGGACCACCAACTCCATGGGGACACCACCCCCCAGATGAAGATGTCACCCTCCATGGTGCCATCACCCTCCATGGTGCCACCACCCCAGATGGAGATGTCACCTCTGTCACCTTCCAAGGTGCCATCACCCTCCATGAGGCCACCACCCCAGATGGGGATGTCACCTTCTGTCACCCTCCATGGTGCCATCAGCCCAGTTGAGGTCATCACCCTCCATGGTGCCACCACCCCCCCATGGTGCCACCAAACCACTTGAGGTCATCACCATGGGGCCACCACCCTCCACATGGTCATGAACCTCCATGGTGCCATCACCTTCCATTGTGCCACCACCCCAGATGGGGATGTCACCCTCCAAGATGCCACCACCCTCCATGAGGCCACCACCCCCCCTCCAACTTCTTTTCTCTCCTTCAACTTCTCACCACGATTCATTTCTCTTTAGTTCCATCTTCTCCAACCAACCAAGGTCCCCTTCACCCCTCCCCAACTCCATGTCCCCAAGGTCCATCACCACCATCTCTCCAAGGTCCATCCATGATGATGATGATGAGTTTGGGTGGGTTTTGGGGGTCTCCTAAGATCCATCCATCACCTTCTGATGATGATGATGAGTTCCTGGTTGGCTTTTTGAAGATCTTCTTCACCTTCCATCATCATTTGATGATGATGATGAGTTCCTGGTTGGGTTTTGGGGTCTCCTAAGATCCATCACCACCATCTCTCCAAGGTCCATCCATGATGATGATGATGATGATGAGTTTCTGGTTGGATTTTGGGTCTCCTAAGATCCATCCTTCATCACCTGATGAGTTCCTGGTTGGGTTTTGGGGTCTCCTAAGATCCATCCATCACCTTCTGATGATGATGATGAGTTCCTGGTTGGGTTTGGGGTCTCCTAAGATCCATCCATCATCACCTGATGAGTTCCTGGTTGGGTTTTGAGGTCTCCCAAGATCCCTCCACCATCATTTGATGATGATGATGAGTTCCTGGTTGGGTTTTGGGGTCTCCTAAGATCCATCACCACCATCTCTCCAAGGTCCATCCATGATGATGATGATGATGATGAGTTCCTGGTTGGTTTTTGGGGGTCTCCCAAGATCCATCACCACCTTCTGATGATGATGATGAGTTCCTGGTTGGCTTTGAGATCTCCTTCACCTTCCATCATCACCTGATGATGATGATGAGTTCCTGGTTGGGTTTTGGGGTATCCTAAGATCCATCCACCACCTGATGATGATGATGATGATGAGCTCCTAGTTGGCTTTGAGATCTCCTTCACCTTCCATCATCCCCTGATGAGTTCCTGGTTGGTTTTTGGGGGTCTCCCAAGACCCATCACCACCTTCTGCTGATGATGATGAGTTCCTGGTTGGTTTTTGAGGTCTCCCAAGATCCCTCCACCATTATTTGATGATGATGATGAGTTCCTGGTTCGTTTTTGGGGGTCTCCCAAGATCCCTCCACCATCATTTGATGATGATGATGAGTTCCTGGTTGGTTTTTGAGGTCTCCCAAGATCCCTCCACCATTATTTGATGATGATGATGAGTTCCTGGTTGGTTTTTGAGGTCTCCCAAGATCCCTCCACCATCATTTGATGATGATGATGAGTTCCTGGTTGGCTTTTTGAGATCTCCTTCACCTTCCATCATCATTTGATGAGTTCCTGGTTGGGTTTTGGGGGTCTCCTAAGATCCATCACCACCTTCTGCTGATGATGACAACTTCCTAGTTGACTTTGAGATCTCCTTCACCTTCCATCCTCCCGTCGATTGGCCGGATGAACCCAATTATTATCATGTAAACCCACCTTACAACCAGGAGCTTCTTTATCAGGTCTTCTACAACACATCCAGTAAGATCTCCCATAAGGTAGGTCATGGTGGTAAGGTTTGGGATGCCACCTACACAAGGAGACATCTCCTTTCTCATAATGTTTCTTACATTGTTTACAAGGGTCGTCACGATAAAGAGGGTCCCGGTTCCACCTGGAATCGGTGGCTTGAACCCCAAAAGTTTCGATGATGGATTTGAAATAATGACAAGAACATTTCAAAGCTGCTAAAGTTTGGGTGGGTAAGTAGCTGAAGATCTTCACCATGAGATGTTCTGGGAGGAGGAACATGTATTGTCTTGGTTCTAACAAGCGTTGGATCTTAAACCTGATCTCCAAGAAATCGTGGGAGACGTGACGGTACAAACGACATAGAGAAGGGTCAGGGATGGTGGAACGTTCTTCAACCTTCTCTGTCTCCTCCATTCTTGGTGTTTCCTCAACGATAGGGAGAAGAAAAAGTTGTCCTGGTGGTGGATCTTCTTGTGTGGTTGGTGGTAGGTTGATGGTTTCTTCTTTCATCTTCTTGGTGCTGTCTTTACCGAAGAAAACACATTGATCCACCACCCCCGTCACCACCACGTCCACGTGGAAACCAGAGGAGCAATCTCTTGTTGTGGTGGTGGTTGTCGTGGTGGTGGTGGTGGTGGTCAATGTCCCATCACTGCTTCCTTCAATCATCTCAGCTTTGATGGTGTTAACCAAACCTTCAGTAGATCCCATATCCACGTCACCACCATCACCATCTTCTTTAGGTGAAGCGTTGGCCAAGAGGAACTCAACGTTGTTGGGTAACGCGTCGCGGGATGGGCTGATGAGTTGGTAGAGATCACAAGTGATCTTGTCCTTGGAACGTCCACCACCACCACCACCACCACCACCCCCACCACCATTGGATGTCCCACCACCACAACTCATCAAAACACAATTGGGATGATGTCCAACGGCACCAGGTTCAACCACGGTGGTGGCACGTGAGTCGCGACCGCTGGAGATACGGAACGCGATACGAACCTCACCAGGAGTTGATGATGATGATGATGATGATGGTGACACCATGGTTGTGGTGGTTGTGGTGGTGGTGGCATGTTCAGTGCTTGAGTGACACAACCCATTGGGTTGACCAAGTCCAACTCCACCAAGTCCAACTCCACCACCACCATGTTCTCGTTGACGCGACTCGAAATGAGCGACGGCTTCGGCCACGCGGTTACAATCGGTGAAGTTGAGTGGTTTGGTGTCTTCTCCAAAGAAGTTGGAGACACCAGAAGCTCGAGGAGGAAAGTTCTGTAAAGCCAACGCCGTCCTACGTTCAACCAAAGCCACCATCTCGGCCACCGATAATAAATCAGGAGTTTCACCCATGATGTCACCACCAGGATGGGGACAAACCATGTCTTGACCAACCATGGTGGTGGTGGTGGTGGTGGTACCACCCATGGTGGTGGTGGTGACCCAACCAGTTGAGTTGGTTTTACTCTTGGTTGGGTCATGACAACGGCGACGTCGTTTGGCTTTAGAACTCTCGTTACTCCAATGACCTTTGACCTTCATGGTGGTGACACGACCACCACCGATGGTGCCACCACCACCACCACCACCACTGGTGCCACCACCACCACCACCACATTGATGTGCCACAAAAAATGCCACCTTCTCCTTGGTGTTACCTGGTTTGATGACGTACCAAGTGTCCAACAACACACGACCTTCTTCGGTTGACGCCGTGGTGGTGGTGGTACTGGTGGTGGTGGTACTGGTGGTACTGGGAGGAACTGGTGGGGTGTTTTCTGATGGTGGTTGGTGACAGGAGAAGGTTTTTTTGGTGGCACCAGGACAAGGACCTGAACTGGGACATGGTTTGTTTTGGGTGTAAGTTCCAAAAGGTCGTGGACACCAAAGTTGGAGTTGAGGGAAAGTGTTGGGTTCCATCAGGGGAACATGGTACTGGTGGTACTGGTGGTACTGGTGGTACTGGTGGTACTGGTGGCAACGATGATGTCACTGATGTCACCGACGTCACCAACGTGGCTGATGTCACCAGTAGCTCTGATGTCACCGACGTCACCAAGGTCACTGATGTCACTGGTGG